TATATATATATATTTCAACATGGTTGGAATCCAAACACCAAGTTGTGATGCAAAATAGACAATATGAAAATGGAGAATGTCCACATCAAATCACAAACTGGAGGATGAGCACATTATATGACTGCCAGATCATACGATTGTGGAGCTACCAAACCAATGGGAGTCCTGGCTTAGCGCTGTTGATGTTTAACTTTATCATAGCCAGTGTTACTCATGCCTTGCACCTCCTTGTTTGTTACTGCCAGATGGTATTGTTGAAGTGCAAAATATTCAGATAATAGATTTTTTACTTTTGTTGTAATGTGGAATGTTGGATAACAGGATAGTTAATAAGTGACAAGAAAGTGTGTGTGTATGTGCGTGTCGGTGTGTGCCAGTGTGTGGATGCTCAGTATAGACATAAGGATATTTATTTTCTATGGGCTATAATAGCTGAATATGATTACAGATTTTGTTGATCAAAGTGTTCTAGCTTTGTCATTGAGGAGTCTTTCAGGTTGGCTCCTACACCTTTGTGACATACTCATTCTTGTCTTTTGTCTTGGTGCTTTAAGTTCTGGGCCACAAGATGGTCCCCTGTCATTTCCCCTGACATCTCTCCCCTGTCGTAGCTTTGTGTTCGTTGTTACTAGGGTCAGTTTTCAGTCTTTCAAACTCTCAGAAAAGAAAACTCATTTCTATGTTTTATACTGAGTCATGGTGACCTTATAGGACAGAGTAGAACTGTCCTTATGGGTTCCTGAGACTAACTTTTTAAGAGAGTAGAACGCTTCATCTTTCTCCCAGGAGCGGCTGGTGAATTGAAACTGAAGACCTTACAGTTGGTAGCCCAAAGTGGAACATACTTGTTAAAGATTTCCATTAAAATTTTTGTTCTTGTCTACAGCTGATTTGGGCACAACAGTTTTGGTAACCATTAAGGGGAAAGTTTGCATAACTGAAATTTTACATCCAACAAAGGCACATTAACAGGCATCTACCAGAGGTGCAGGCCAGATTCAGAAGAGAATGTACAGCAAAGGATATCATTGCTGATATCAGATGGATCTTGGCTCAAAACAGAAAATACCAGAAAGATGTTTTCTGTGTGGACATCTAACAAAAACATGGTGTTGCCTTTTGTTGCCTATTGTTAGTGTTGGTCCTCTTCTATTAGAACTTAGACAAGATTGATTGTTTTCTTATAAATTGTTGTGGATGGCTGGCTTCATCGTCACTTTATCTAATCCCTTTTATTTGTTTACGTATTAAAAAAAAATCACACTGCCATCGGAGTCCATGCTGACTAATAGTAACGCTATAGGATTGTGTAGCACCTGGTGGCTTCGAACTACTGATCAAAAGCAGCCCATCACGTAACCATTGCACCACCAAGGCTCCTCTGTCTAGTCCCATTTAAAGTGATCTATCCATATGTAAAATGATGATTCTTTTTCGCATTATCTTTTCATAGTCTGTGGTTTCACCATTCTTTCACACAAAGTTCACCATGAATTTGATAGCGCCTTTTGATTTCATTTTAGCAAGATTCATATCGCTCTGATAAGGGCATCTTTTTAATGGATATGTTATTCTTCTTAGTGCCTCAAACTAGTTGTGTTCAGACATTTTATAACAAGTTGGTACAAATATGTTTTGCTTGCATAATTTTTTAATTCTACACAGAACTTTTTCTTTTTACAAAATTTTCTTAATAGGCAATTTCCATGACTTCTTTGCATACCCCACCTTTTTAATTTAAATTAAATCATTTTATTGGGGGCTCATACAACTCTTATCACAATCCATCCATCCATCCATTGTCTCCAGCACATTTGGACATTTGTTGCCGTCATCATTCTCAAAGCATTTTCTTTCTACTTGAGCCCTTGGTATCAGCTCCTCATTTTTTTCCCTCCCTCCCTCACACTCCCTTCTTCATGAACCCTTGATAATTAATATATTTTAAAATTAGTTTATAACTCTGCTTTAAACCTTAAACAAAAAATAGCCCCTGGAGACTTCAATGGTTTTGCTTACAATGTAAAGACTATCTTCTTTGAGCATTATACTCTTTCAAGGACTATTTATATGGGACCAAATTGATAGCAGCAGCTAGGAAAATTAGATAAGAAATTGAGGCAGTGCATTTGTAGTAGTGGAGGAAGTGCAGTTTGGAAATGGGAGATGGTTATTAAATGATTATTAAATATAGAAGAATATGAATCAATGTCAATGAATTGAACTCACAGAAGCTGTTGAATTGGTGTTTATTTTGCTGTGGATAGTCTATAACTAAAAAATTAAAATGTTAAAAATGAAAAAGAGAAGATGAAGGGAGAGATTCATTTATAGATACAATTTTCTTGTTGAAATTTAAAAAAAAATAAAGGACAGGTATAAATACAAATATTCCCTGTGTTATAAATGCTTTATTTATTCATAAAGTAGAGTTAAGAATCAACTCACGGCTGAGTTATATTAAAAATTTGAGGCACATACGTGTAATATACATATAGTATAATAGCAAATGGGCACTGCTTTACAACATGCATGAAAATATTATTATTACCGTGTTAAAGATGTGTTTGATATCTGGAGGTGTTTAATATTTTCTATGTACTGAAAGGTACAGTGAATATATACGAGGCTTCAAAAAGTTCTTGGAAAAGTGGAATTAAAAGATAATGTGATACTTTCACCAACTTTTTGATGCTTCCCTTGTGAGACAACATTTGACTGACGTTAGTTAGAAAACTATACCTAACTTTTCTGATTTATTTACAGTGTTTAAAGACAGACTTGGAAACAGAACCAGTTCTTTAAAAACAATTTTTTTATTGGGCGGTCTTACAGCTCTTATCACAATCCATACATATATCCGTTGTGTCAAGCACATCTGTACATATGTTGCCATCATAATTTTCAAAACATTTTCTTTTTATTTGAGCCCTTGGTATCAGCTCCTAATTTTCCCCTCCCCCATGAACTCTTGATAATTTATAAATTATTATTATATTTTTCATGTCTTACATTGACTGCAGTTTCCCTTCACCCACTTTTCTGTTGTCTATCCCCCTGGGAGGCAGCCATACGTCGATCATTCTGATTGTAGAACTAATTCTTAATCTGAAGACTGCCTATAATTGAGAAGATGTTGGTTCTCAGGAAAGGTAAATTTGTCTCTCAGAGACAGTAGTGAATCAGGGAGTTGATTCCCACCTCCGAAGGCCAGAGTAGTGGTTGGTGGGTACCAATCGCTGACCTTTTGCTTGCCAGCTGAGTGCTTACCCACTGTGTCACCAGTATTCCTTTTGTGATATAGAATAATTGAGACAAGTTTTCTTAAGATTTGTCCTCTTTACTTGAGTTATGCTATCTTCAGATAGAATAATTTTATAATACAGTTGCTGTATTCATTATTTTGTGTTTAATACTGTAGCCTGAACTTGAAGTTAACCATCAATTATATATATGTTTTTTTTCAGTGTAAAAGTTAAGAGATTTAAGTTCAAATGATTTCTAACTTGTCGGGGTACAACTTCTAAGTACTCTTAACTTGTGGGGGTACAACTTCTAAGTACTCTCATGCATTGATTCTACATATCATGGGCCATACAAAGATGAGTAAGTCAGGGTTTGTATGAATTGGAATTGACTCGATAGCAGTGGGTTTGCTTTGATCCCTCTCTTTAAGGGATAGTTAGGTTCTTTTGTGCCAACATGACACCTGTAAGAAGAAATGGGTGAGTTGAGCCTGTCAATCAGGTCACAGCTTTATGACCTCCTTTGGAGGTGCGGCCAAGATAAATAGCTCTCTGGAGTCCAGCCCCCCTGTCTCTCTGCCTTCACCTATATGCCTGGGAGCCACTCTGGGACCTGCGAGAGCCCTGTGATGCTTCTACGGAGTATTGGATCTATACTCTGTACTCACTGGCCTGTGGTCTTCAGCATCCCGCGTTATTGCATGTGGCTGTGTGAGTCTGAAGAGGGACTTATGGGCTAGTAGCAGACTTATGGACTTGATCTGGACTGGGCCTGGGATGTTTTCTTGATGCATAATTACTTCTTAATATAAGGCTCTTTATTACACATACATGAGTGTCACTGAATTTGTTTTACTAGTGAACCCGGTCTAACAGGCCCACAATGCAAAGGAGTTATGTAGACCAAGGATTTTTATGTAGTAAGACATCAATATATGTACAAGAAGCCATGGTGGTGTAGTGGGCGGTTGCCCATTGGACTGTTAACTGCAAGACCAGCAATTTGAAACCACCAGCTGCTTTATGGGAGAAAGACAGGGCTTCCTACTCCCATAAAAGGGTACAGTCTCAGAGCCTTGTCGGGGCATTTCTACGGTGTAATTGGGTTGTTACGAATTGGCATCGACTCTATGACCGTGAGTGTGAGTTAGTTATGACACATATAATACAAATAAGTAATAGAAATATACTAAATACTAATATACAGAGAGGAATGCCTTGGTGTGGGGTGGCCATTGTGTGGTTGAGGGAATGAGTGTTAGCACAATATGTGATACTTTACCAGAGAAAAGTACAGAGACAGTCAATTCTGAGTTGAGGGAGCAGTTTAACAAAAGTATAGAGACATAAAGTGACATATTCGGGCAATGCTAGTGTCAGTGATGTGAAGACACTCGGGTGTCTAAGTCGTGGGATGCCATTGCTGTATTGGAGGCAGCTCAGCTATAATTAGATTGAGTAGAGGAACCCGAGCACAGCATTTGGAAGATTAAGAAGTGAAGCGATGGCAGGTAGGCAACACAGTAGTTGGGAAGCAGTAATGATACTTCGTATGTGTACCTTTATAGTCGTTGAGAAGTTTCTATTATGTTTTCTCTCAGAATTACACTTAGCTACATATGCATTAAGTTCAGAATTTAGAAATTTTAAATTTCCAAGTATTAATGAAGGTTAATTTAGTAGTTCTGTTACCTGATTCATTTCTTATTTTTATTTCAATTAAACTGGTTATTTTCTCACCCTAATTTCAGATAACAAAGATGCTAAAAGCTAAACCAGAGAGTATCCGAGTTCAGTCATCACTCTCGAAACTCAGAAGCTCAGAACGGTGGAATCTCCCTTTGCAAGAGGTGATTCAAACTACATTCTTTTAAGTATATAGTTTTATTTGGTATGTTTAAAGTATCTTAGTGAATACAAATTTCCTTTTATGTCCCTTTTTTAGTCTTATGTTACCTAATTGTAGGATTTAAATGGTTTCTGTCATATATATATTGATATGGGATTTTGAGGACTTTTTTTTTTT